GGCCTGTAGTTTATCCTTTAATAGTCATAACTATGATATTTTTCAGTTTTTATGTTTCAGCTGATTACCTGAGTGAAATCTTGACTTAACCTGTAAGTGCTGATCATTTTTTATCATATATGAACAGAGATAAGATTCCTCTAATGGAAGGTTTTATAGATTGTGTCATTCATAAAAACAGATTATTTTCTGAAATCCAGATTCCTTTGCACCACTAATGTGGCATAAATGGACTGTAATCTGGCTGCCAATTACTAGCCCTGTATCCCTGACCTTATTCTCACTACCCCTGTATCTCTGAGCTATTGGGTGGCATCCTGGCAAATCCTGTCTTCTGTGGCAAATGGTAGAGCTCCCAGAAGCAAACTAAAATGTTGTCAGTGGATCAGTGTCTCTCTCTCATTTTAGCAAGAAATTCCATTCTGGACCTGAGACTTTTTTTGATTAATCAACATTTTCCAATGAAAGATGTTTAATCAAAAAATTCCTGACCAGTACTAGTACTTTCCAAGTTGATGGTACTCCTGTAACTTGAGATCTATCAGATTTAAAAACCAAAGTGGTATGACTGCAAGTGGAGAGAGAGAGAAAAAGTGAAACAATAAAAAACATGTATTTAAATGTGCAGGCATGTCACTCTGTCACATATGAGCACTTAATACATGTTTGGAATGGCTGGCTTTAAACACAGATGTCACTGTTTCTCATCTAAAAAGTATGGTGCTGACTGAGAAAGCCCTTTTCTCTTCCCTCTCTACCCTCCTGTTCTTATTAAAGCTCTGAAATAGTGAAGTGGACCAACGTCCAAAATATTCCAACATAATGAAACAATATTATTATGTGAAAGCTGAAACTGTTGTGGTTTTGAATCTGGAAATCCTGAGGATTCAAACTTGTGGTATAGTCCTACATAACTGTACTTGGTAATTATGAGAAGCTCTATTTTTCTTTAATATTAAATTTCACTGATTAAGAGGTTCCTCTCCTGTCTATAATATGTTAGAAAAAGGGTAAATAATTAAACCAACACACTTGCAATTAGAGAAGTACATATGATGAGAGCAAAAATAAATAAAAACTAGAAGAGGCTTGCAATGAAAGCTTTGTAGACTAGTGAAATATGTTTGATAGAATAAATGTTCATACTGTATGGGTTTTCTTCCAATGCAATTATTCTCTAAAACTCTGATTTCCAAGATAAGAAGTGGATGGAGAAACTCAGTTTTGAAAAAGTGAGGAGTCCTGTGGCACCTTATAGACTAACAGATTTATTGGAGCATAAGCTTTCATGGGCAAAGACCCACTCCGTCAGATGACCTCTCTGAGATCAGTTTTGAAAGGCATTTTAACCATTAAGGGGCAATTATTTTTGGCCAAGTTGCAAATGTCTTGGTCAAGGTATTGTCAAGAGAAAATAATACAAAAGCAATGACAATGATTAAATAAAAAATTGTTGCACTCTGTTCAAAAGCATCTGGCAGTTCAGATTTGGCTCACAGTCTGATTTATTGACTACTCCTGCATTAAAGAAAGGTTCAATTGCTAAGCCTGCCAGTAATCTCTTCTAAGAAGAATCTGCCTTATAGAAGACGACCCCTTACCAAATAAATAAATTACTCTGCCACTGGAAAACATAATCGAGCTGATACATAATTGTATCTACTGTTTGAACCTCTCTGTTTACGCATTGCTCAAAAATCTTGAGGTAACGGTCCCTTTACTATACAGGGGCTAACATTTTCAAAAATCACTGCCCAACTTTGGGCGCCCAATGCCATCTATAAGTAACTAAAGGGGTGACTAGAATCTCTGAGGTGCTGAGAAACTGAAATTCAAGTCACCTATTGGCTGTCTAAATATAGATTCGGGGTGCCTAACTTGGGCAGCGTTGGCTAGCGCATATTACTTCATTGTATATCACATGCAATTATCAGGGATTATTACTTTTCTGAAGTTAGAGAGCCTTTTTAAACAATCAAACTACAGTCGGAGACCCAATCTTGTGATCTCCTCCATGAGAAAGGAACTCTGCTAGTGTAGAATATAGTTGCCTCAGCAATACTGCAGTTAGGAGTTTTATGACATAGTTGAGAATACAGTGATTGCACACCAACAGTGTTGTTACCTTTCAACCTTCAATCTCTTGTACAACACAACACAGAATTTCATTCACCATTTTCATGCCTTCCTGGCAATAGCAATGGAAAAATAAGTTTGACAGCAGAAAGATTAATTAAAAGCAGAACCAAGTGAGTTAGTTTCTCATGCCTTCTTTATTCCAATTACGTTTTAATGAAAGAGTCAGTGTAATTATTTGACTAGTCATCACAGCTTTTCTCTGAAGAAAAAATAAGGTTGGGTCTCAACATTAGCATTATGGAGATGTATCAACCATATACTTTCAGTTGTCTCAACTCATGAGGTGAAAACTTTTCCCCCATGACATCAGTGAGAATATTGACACTGACCTCAGTAAAGTTAGGATTTCATTCTGTTCCTAGGTGCATAATAAATCTTGTTAAATCCATTGGTTCCTCAAAATTCAGTAACATTTATAATATATACACTTCATTAAAACATAATGGAGTTTTACAAGGCATGAATTTAGCCTATGCTATTTAAAACATCAGAGGCAAAATAGATATACCAAATGGCCAAAAAGATAACGGTTTCTCCTCTCAATCTAGATAACTGATTTGCTACCTTAAAAAACATATTTTGAAAAGGCCTTATTAGATTTTCATAACAGAATAGCAAGTAACACTTAATTGTAAATATTTTCAATTTAAAAATGTCTTAAATTCAGTTGTTACTGTATTAAAGTACAGGGGTAAAGTTTAATTTGTTTTACTAATTTTTCTGTTATGGTGACAAAATTTGATCCAGGTAAAGACCATTAGCTTTTCAACTGTGGTTAGAATTTTTTGTTCAGAAATTTGATCTGTACTTGTTCCTTTGGTATGGCTTCTGGTTGCTTGCAGCTCAATTCCAAACTTGCAGTAATTGTGTTCCGCTGTTATTCATGTTTGCTTTCATTAATCCAGCTAAAGAATGCAAGAAGACTTTTTTTTTCAATTAGAAATTACTTGGATTACTAGGTTAAACATACAAGTTTTATTCTAAAATTAAGTGCTTGCAGTTACCAAAGGTAAGTAAGACAGTTTATGTTTGTGAAATTGTAGTGCAATATAAGCATGGTTTCACTACTCACAGTTGTTAGCACTAATAGCCAAGAAATATAAATTAAACTTTTAAAGATAAATGGCTTATGATTTTTTTTCTAGGGAAGCTTTATCCTTTAGTTTGCTTGATATGATTCTTTCAAAGAAACATCTGTAAATAAAAATTGAATAGTATCCTGTTTAAAAAAACAAACAAACTGAACATAATACAAAAAAGTACAGCCATGGCCACAAAACTCGCTTAACACAATAGATGAGTATATTGAACATCACAGCTGTTGTAGTAGATATCTCTTGATTGATTTTCACTCTGTGTGTCTTACATAATTTATACAAAGATTGATCATTACTGTATCATGGTTACTTTTATGCCCTACCTTATGATGTGGAAGTTTGCTTTTCTTTTAAATTATATCTGTGCCGCTGTGGAGGTCTTGTTGAAAAGTGTGACTATGAAGAAAGATTATTTCAGAAAGCGTAATTTTGAGATCCACAGACTATCACAACAGCTTCATAGTCACAATCACTGTTTTATATGCAAATTGAACCTCTCCAATCTGGCACCCTTGGGACCTGACCAGTACTGACCCAGAGAATTTGCAGGACCACTCGAGGTCAATATTTTCTAGCAACATTACCTACACTTCCCCTGTTACTACACCATTAGAAGACATTTAGGAGTAAATTACAGCTAAATAACAGCACTGGGGGGCATCCCTATGCCAGTACTCCATGGCAGGGGATGAAAAGGAAAAACACAGCTTCACACATACTGACCTGACAGATTCACGGTTAATGTATGTGTTTCTAAAATGGACATGTGTGTTTCTGCTGATTGCTTAAGCTTTATTCCACATATTTATTAAAGTTATTGTGCACTCACTTTTAACTTGCACAGAATTTTTTTCTGAACTGTTTTCATTTCTCAATAAAACTCTAGTATTTGGGGGGGAAAAACATCTTTATTAGTTCCCAACATAATCTTCAGAGAGCCTGGCAGTAGAGAAAAATAGTCACTAGTTGTACACTGACACAAATCAAAATGTGTTTTCCGGGCACAACTGATGTGATTTTCATGGTATGACAGACTTAGGAGAAGTGCAGAGAGCAACACTAGGAACTGTTCATGGTATTCATTCATTTGACACTATGAATCACGGTGCCCTATGGAAGATGCTGCGTAGAAATTCATTTCCAACATCAGACTACACCATAATGAAATGATTGACACCATCTGTGCAATGGCCCTGAGACCAAATCATTTGTCATTCGCACCAGTGTCAAGCAGGCCTGTGTCATTGCTCCAACACTCTTCTCCTTTTGCTTAGCTGTGATGCTGATGCTCATCTGTGACCATCTTCCTAATGGAATCAGGATTGAGTATTGTATGGATGATGAACTCTTAAGTTGCCAAAGTCTCCAAACAAAATCTAATTGACATCTCTTCAGTTGCCAAAGTCTCCAAACAAAATCTAAGATCACAAAAATTGGCATCACTGATTCAGTATGCAGATGAGTGCACCATTCTCGCTCACACTGAATCCGAACCGCAAAGTATCCTAGATCTTTTTGCAGATACCTATCACAGTCTGGGTTTCTTTCTCCACAGTGGAAAAACTACGGTACTCTGAATAAACTACTCTTTATTCTCATCAAATCACCATCAGTGGAGAATCCCTAGAAAATGTGGACCTTTTCCCATGCCATGGCAGCCACCTCTCCCAAACAGCTAGCATTGAGAGAGAAATTGAATACAGGCTCCACTGTGCCAGCACATCCTTTGCAAGATTACTCAAATGCATTTTCAATCTTAAACAGGCACCAAGATGGTTCTTTACAAGCCAGTTGACCTGTCCACCATTGTCTACGGGTGTGAGGCCTGGGTAACCTACAGATGACATCTCAAGTGGCTGAAGTGGTTCCAGCAGTGCTGCCTCAGGAGGTATCTCAGGATCATCTAGGAAGACCGACACACTAACATCAGCTTTCTCTCTGCAGCCAACAACAGCAGGATAGGAGCGCTGGACATGAAATACCAACTCTGTTGGGCTGGCTACTGTGTATGTAGACCTGACACTCATCTCCAAAAGCAAATACTTCTTTTCTCAGTGAAGTCACGGAAGAAGGGCTAGTGGAGGGCAGCAGAAGTATTTCAATGACCTACTAACAGTACATCTTGAAAAGAGAATGTGTAGTCCCATGATACCTAAGTCTACATCTAGACTGTAAGCCTCTTTCGAAAGAGGCTTTTTCGAAAGGTACCTCTTTGAAAAAGAGCATTTAGACTACAACCAGTACTTTCGAAAAAACAAGCCGTTTTTTCAAAAGAGAGCACCCAGGCAGTCTGGATGCTCTCTTTCGAAAAAGCACAGTTTGCATTACATAGCGCCTTTTTTTGTCAGAGCACTTTCAAAAAAAGGCATTCTTCCTCATAAAATGAGGTTTTCCAAGGTCGAAAAAACTGCCGCGTTCTTTCGATTTACTTTCGAAGGAACGCGGCGGCAGTCGAGACACAGGGGAAATTTCTTTGAAAAAAGGCCACTTTAAAAAAAACAACAACCCTGTAGTCTAGACATACCTTTAGAGACTAACAAATATATATACTCTCGCTTATATATACTACTAATTGTTTTTCAGGTTACAAACTAACACAGCTACATCCCTGAGGCCTCAGTCCAACAAACTGGAAGAGCTAGCGTGGAACAGAATACAGTGGCGCAACACCATACATCAAGCCACAGCTTGTTTTGAGGCGGACTGATGTGCTCATGAGACAGAAGCAACAAAAATAGGAAAGAGAGGGCATAACAGTCCACAACTATGTCTCCAAGATTGTACCTGTCCTTTCTGTGGGAAAAATCTATAGGACATGAATTGGGCTCCTCAGCCACTTAAAAACCCACCAACAAATCCCCTTGGCAAACATCAGCCTAGCATTGAGGGACAGCGGAAGAAGAAGAGCTGAAGACCTTCTATTTAGCTGTGACCTGCTGAGGGCAAGTCTACACATACCGCGCTGCAATGATGCGCCACTGCAGCGCATCTGGTGAAGACGTTCTATGCTGGCGAAAGAGAGTTCCTGTCAGCATAAATAAAACAACCTCTATCAGCATCAGAATCTATGGTTGGTGGGAGAGAGCTCACCTGCCAACTTAGCGCTGTTCACACCATCACTTATGTTGGTGTAACTTGTGACACTTGGGAGGGTGGTTTTTTTCACATCCCTGAGCAACATAAGTTCTCTCAACATAAGGCGTAGGGTTGACATTGCCTGACTACATTTCCCAGACCTGAAGAAGAAGTTTTGTGTATCTTGAAAGTTTGTCTATTTCACAAAAAGAAGTTGGTTCAGAAAAAGGTACTGCCTCACTCACTGGCTACGTCTAGACTGGCATTTTTTCCATTAAAAGCATTTGTGGAAAAGAGCGTCTAGATGGGCACGGACGCTTTTCCACAAAAAGTGCTTTTGCGGAAAAGCGTCCGTGCCAATCTAGACGCGGTTTTGCACAAGAAAGCCCCGATCGCCATTTTCGCCATTGGGGCTTTTTTGCACAAAACAGTTTTCAGATGCCTACACTGGCCCATTTGCGCAAAACCATTTCTGGAAAAGGGCTTTTGCCCGAATGGGAACGTCAAAGCATTTGCGCAAGAAGCACTGATTTTGGACAGTAGAACATCAGTGCTTTTGCGCAAAATCAAGCGGCCAGTGTAGACAGCTGGCAATTTTTTCCACAAAAGCAGTCACTTTTGCAGAAAAACTTGCCAGTCCAGTTGCAGCTACTGTGTTTCTCTAATTGTTGCTTTACATTTAGACATGACATTGATTGAAAGCGTTGATCAACAAAGTTTGCTGTTTTATTAATGGGCAAAAGAATATAAATAGTCTGTTTGAAGAGGGTAACAAAAAATATTCCCTGAAAATGTGGATGCAATGGATCCTAGGCACTATGATGGTAGACACACTACTACTACTACTACTACTAATACATTTGTAAATTGTTTATTTCACAGTACATAGTTAATGTTTCTTGCTAATCTACTTTTGTGTTGTCATCTTTGCAACAAAGACACAGTCTTTGGGCAATGTAATAAAAAGGAATGTTGGCCTTAGACCTCTCATTTTAAATCTGTGCTTTAAAGACCATTTTTTCTCTTTTAGATGTAAGAACAATAAACTCCTTTAGCAAAACGCTGGAACATACCCAAACCAAAATGGTAAGAATTGTTTGGCTAAAGGTTACACAAAGTGCATACTTAGCCTTCAAAAACTTTAATTAGGTAAGGCAAATGTTCTCATTCTCTCTGTGTCTCTTTCTCAATGTCTGTTCCATTGCTATTAATTTTATTTTATCTTTTTTATTATGTCATTGTAAAATTAAAGGCATATAGTTTGCAGGTAGGCATGATTTTCTTATGAAAAGACTAAAGAATTGTAAGTCAAAGATATGCTTATGAGAAAACAAGTTTGCCGTTCAAGTTTCACAAGATAAGCCTCTTTGTTCCCAGAGAACATTTTTTACTATTACAATTTAAAGGTTAAAATTGAGCATGTCTCTACATGTGCACAAATATCAATGTGTCTACATATACAAGCATTTTTATATATGTATGATGTCCATATGTACAGCATGGGCCATTTTTGATGAGTAAATTTTTCTTTTTGCCTTTAATTCTGAAACTTTTGAAAAGTGAAATTTCTGTTGGGAACTGGAAGAGATTAAACGTGTTCTGTTTCTACTCGTGCTATTGCCACTCTTGTAATTTATGTGTGACAGGTACATAAATGTGTCCCCCATCTACTTTTAGCTAGTGAGTTGTCATGTTATCACCCTCTCCCTGCCCCAAAATAGATGGGCATGCGTCCTGAATATGTTTTTATTATCTTTGAGCTCAGACTTAATTTGGAATTGTTAATTATAACTCATTACTTAATAAAAATAAACTTCCTGAACTTACCATCAAAAAAGATTAAAGGACCTAACAAATTAAAAAGGGGTTAGAACTACAGATGAATGTGAATTAATTAGAATGTCAGGTCTGCGTAGTATAAATTTCCGAAGAGAAGCATTATGGAATCGAATCCAGTTTTGTGGTTGGCCAATTTCCTTATATGTATTTGGCTTACCTCAGACTCCAGATATCAACAGCCCCTAATTTATGGGATTTGAAGGCTAGATCTAGATTGAGTTAGAACAATGAAAACAATTATGGAAATAAATAGAGGCATGTTGTAAAAACTTAATGAAAATGAAAATCACTGAAGTAGAAGGCACAGAATAAAACCACTACTTAGTTACGCTAGTGACAATGTGGACTGACTCCAGAAATGGCAATGGTTATATTCAAGATTGTCACATTGGGGTAACTGACAGTAGAATTTAGCCTGTTTTTCTTTTCTTTTAATACTATAAAAAACCTTTGAAAGTTTGTTATGTAACTTATTTTCCATGTTGTACACATAGAATATTGGCCTGCAAAATGTCTGTATCACTCTGTTATTTCATGAGATACAGTATAAGGGAAAGAAAAGGCCCACTATATGTCCCTGAGAATTAAAATATCCCTTTTCAAATATGTGAAAGTACAAAAAGATCTTGTGTTTCACTCTGTGTATGTGGCTTCATCTGTGTATGTGGTTGTTTAATTATGAAGTATAGAATTAAGGCTGAACCATGCACTTCTGGTTATAGGACCTGTAGAGTGACTGGATCCACTGCTTGGTAACTTGTTCCTCATGGGCCAATTAAAAAGAAGCCAGGTAAAGTTAAATAAAAATATAGCTTTTGTGAGCTGCTGACTACTTGCTGGAAACTGGCATTAGGAGAACATTGGTAAACTGCTTCTTTTGTTATCCTCTTTCTGTGAAACACTTAGCTTACTTGTTAATATCAATTCACACCAGTATTTCAGTGACAGCAATTTAATTAATAGCTATTTGAATACACATTTGTTCTCTTATTATCCTTCTGAATGAAAAGACACAGTTGAATTTGTTCTCTTATTATCCTTCTGAATGAAAATGAGACATGATCTTAGCTAGGAAATCATCTCTGCACTCACATATGATCAGTATAAGAAAACATTTAAATCTTGCTCTGCTGATGTTTATGTGGGATACTATGTGGAGAAATTTCAGATCTTGTTTATGTTAGTAATTTAATCTTAAAAGTCGTAAGAGCTTGGTTAATTTAGCTCTGATGATGATGTATTCTTTCCACTTTAAGATAAATTATAGTTAGGAGATTTGTTGACTTATTCATTTATATTATTTTATATGTCAAGATTCCAAATATAGACCCACAAAATGAACCAAGTATATTAAGCATCTGTAATGCATTGTGAACATATGTTCTAGAAAAATGGACCATGATTCTCTCCTCAGTCATACTAGCCTTACATTGGAGTAACTGCATAGACTTTAAAAGAGTTCCTTTCAGTTTATGGTGATGTAAGCCAAAGGAGAATCAGAACTATAATCTCTGCATTGCTAGATGAAATAAAAAACACAGGAGAAGATATACAAATCATCACTGCAGCAGCTCTCATGTTTAAACATAAATGCTGTATCCTCATGCAAACAGTCATTCATAAACAACTGTTAACTCTGTCATAGACTTCACATATGTGTGAGTACTTCTGATAATGAAGAAATATATCATTTGTCTCAAGAATGCTGGTGACTTAAAGATGTAATTTTAATTTTTTGCAATTTACTTGGAATAGGAAAGGAAGGAAATATGGCTATATTTACATTAGTATTCTAAAAGCAGATTTGTTTAATTTGGAAAATAGTACAGTAAAGACAGATATTTACATGCAGACTGGCCACGTGTAGCTAATTATGGGAACAAAAACTGGTGGAAACAGGGCGAAAAGAAAAGAAAAGGAGCATCCCACATCCAATGAGAATAGTCTCAACATATCAGTGGCCAGTTGTTTGTTAATACAGGCAGACATGCTCTTGTTTTACACACATGGTACAATCATATTGTCTGGTAAAGGTGCAGATCTCGGGGTCAGCTCCCCAAAGATGGGCCTGAAACAATACTAAGTCTTGTCCTGTTATCTATAAAACTAGATGGCACTTGTTTTAATAGCAAGCTATACTATTGTACTAAGATGAGCAGTATGAAAGTTCAAAGGGTAGGAAAGCAATATGCAGTATGTGTACACTAACTTGGATATTTCAAAATATAATTTAGAATTACAATAGACTTTTATTCAGCCTAAATTTTCAAATGCTAGGAGTGATTTTGGTAGCCTAAAATTCTGGGAGTCCACACAAGGTATTTTAAAGATTCTTAGAAAGAGCAGATCATCTGTCTTTTGAAAACAAACCTCCAAACAGCTTCTGAAATAATATGCTCCATGACATTTGACCTAGATCATAGATTAATGAAAGACTTATCTAGCAAGAAATTGCAGTTGCTGACAGTGGTTTCCTTTCCCTTTTCAGAGGAGGGAATTGACAGACAAGAAATCAGATTTGATTACTAGATGCTGTGAGCCTTAGGTTGATCACAATAGTCAGATCTAAAATATTTGGTATTAAAAAAACTAATTTCAGTGAAACAAACAAACAAAAACCACTGGAGGCAATTTAGGACACAGAACTTTTGAAAGCAAAGGAAATGACAGATTAAACAAGTTTTTACACTTCCCTCAGACAGACCGTTCTTAATTTCTTTTTTTCTGAATAATTAGATCTTTGTATTCTAGCTATATAATTCCTCTGAATTAGGGGTGGAGAAAAGGGTCTGGCCCACAGGAATGGGGAAATGAGTCTGGTATACCATAGGAAAAAAATCATGCAGTTTAGTGCGAGACAGTCATAGGAACATGGTTGGCATCCCACATTCCTATGATTCAAAGGCTTGTCTTCAGTAGGAAATTTTATATTTCAGCTACTGTCACATTTCATGATGTCAGCTAATGATTATTAAGCAATTCCAAACTTCACTGGTCCTCTTTGTTTCAGAAAGTGCAGAAAGTAGCTGGAGGAGACAGGGGGTTGGGGATGGGGAGATGAGGGGAGGCAGGCAGCCATTTTAGACTTAATTTTGACCAACAGGAAAGAATGGGTTGTGAATCTGAAAGTAGAAGGCAATTTGGGTGAAAGTGACCATGAAATGACACATTTCCTTATTTTAAGGAAAGTGAGAGTGACAGAATAAGGACAATAGACTTTAAAAAAAAGGTGAAGTTTAATAAATTCAGAGAAATGGTAGGTAAAGTTCTGTGGGACGGCAATCTAAGGGTTAAAGGAGGTGAGGCAGGCTGCAATTTCTTGAAACCATATTGAGCACAGAACTGCCAATTATTCTGATGTGAAGAAAGGAAGAATAATGCAAGACCAACGTGGTTCTATCAAGAGCTATGTAATGAC